GAGAGGAGAATGGAGGTGAAGGGATTGCAGCGTAGCCACCCTCCACCTCCCTAGGGGGTGCTCTCTCACTTCCTCCTCCCCACAACACACCATAAGCACATGCGCCCCATAGCAAAACAAATTCATTCCCTCACCAGTGGTTTCTTTGAGGCCTGAGTGTGTGCAGGCTGCATTGATGGCCACATGGTGGCGCACTGGTGCAGGCCTCGCCATTGAGCCTTCCCCCAGCACTGACTTCTGATCCCTCCCGTCCTCCCAGATCTGCGCCATCATCGGCGGGACCTTCACTGTCGCTGGCATCCTGGACTCCTGCATCTTCACAGCCTCGGAGGCCTGGAAGAAGGTCCAGCTGGGCAAGATGCACTGACGCCCTGTGCCCTGCCCGCGGCGCCCGGCTCCTCCCGCCGTCCCAGCCCAGGACCCGGCTGTGATCCAAGTGTGTGTGGAAGGTGGGGGGAAGCAAGGGGTGGCTCACGGTTTCGCAGCTACCTCTTCCCCATGTTTTAGACAAATTACACTGCCCGGAGTTACCGTAGCCCTTGCCCTGGGGGGGCCCAAGACCAGTCAGATTGGCGGTGGTGGTCCAGGATGTTGGGGATTCCTCATGGCAGGGAGCTGTATTTCTTTCCCTGTTAGGGAACAGCCCAGAATCCCCACCGACCAGCTCTGGGCCCATCTATGACAATCTCGTAGCCCCCACCACGTGGACACACCAGTCATTTGTTTTTGTCCCGGGAGCCCACCTGCCCCAAGGTGTAGACCTGGGCTCTCAGCTTTGGAGCCAGGCTGCCCAAGGCTCTCCTGCCTGCACCTTGCAGAAGGAGGGTACTTCCCAGGCCAGCCCCTGACGTCTGCTCTATGGATGGAACCCTCACTTCGCCCACCCACCCCACCCCGGCCCTACCTGGAGCCCAGGCCCAGGTCTCTTACCCAGCCCTTCCTTGTCCTTCCAAGAAGCAGATGCCCAGCGTGCGGCCGCGGCAGCAGAGGCCCAGACCTGCCCAGGCGGGTCACAGTCCCCCTCCATTCGTGTTCCTCTGAACGCCCCACCAATGTGCCTCGGCCCCTGTGCTCTGTGACAGCAGCGTCTCCTGGGCAGTTCCCACTGCCAAGGCCCCCTCTGTTCTGCTGGGGTCCACAAGGTCGTGGTTTGTGACTGGGAAGCCACCTTCGAGAACCAGACGGGCATGGTTTGTGCACTTAGACCCAGGCAGGGGGAAGTGTCCTTTCCTGCATCCTGAAAACAACCTGTCTCTGCTTCTCCCCGGCAGCTGCCGTTGGTCCCAGGGCCTTAGGTGGGGAAGCCCTGCGGCCCAGCTCTCCTGTCACCTTTGCAGCTCCACCTTTGGGGCTCCCAGGGACACAGGGCACTTGGACCCCTCAGTACGCAGGTGTAGCCAGCTTGCGCCAAGCTAGCTTTCCCACCAACACATTCCTGGCCCTGGAGTGGCTCTCGTGTCCCCCCACGTGCTCCCGAAGTGGCCCCTGTCCTGCTGTTCCCCCTCAACCTTCTCCTTTTGTCCTGAAAGGGAGGGACAACGTTCCAGGCACGGATTCCACCCAGGGAATTACAGCTACGCCCTCGTGGCCTCATGGCCTGGAGAGCCACCTGCTCTCCACGTCTATCGAGATGGCTTGCATACTCGCGCTCTCGCAGTGAAGGCGTGTCCAGGGAAGGCTTTTTAAAATGATCTGTATGGATAGCTCAAGTCTCTGCCATTTGTAATTTTTGGCTCTGAATTCCGATTAGAAAAGCTCTCCCGTTTGCCTCCGAGTTGACTGCTGTGCGTGCAAACCATCTCTGGTTATTTCTGGTATCTGCGGCCACTTGGATAGATCTTGTTTTTGCTTTTTTTAATATATATATATATTCTGTTCCCTGGTTACATAAAGGAGTCTCTTTGGTGAGCCTGTAGTTTGGGGACAGGGTGGGTTGGGGTGAGAAATGTGTGGCATGCACAAGAGTTGAAATTCCACTTTTATGAATTTTTTAAGAAAAGAAAGAAAAAAAAAAAACCTCTGAGAACATGGAGGATGTCAGTTTCCTATGGAAGAGACACCTCTGACCTGTTATAACAAAAACCTCAAGGGAAAAAAATGTTCTCATTCTTCCCCACCCTGGGTTTAAATAGATGATTAAAGGCTGATTTTCAGACGCATTGCAGTGTGAGTCTTTGCACCTTGGTGGCCGCTGGGAACTGTCAGAGTGGAGCTTGATTCTACAGGGTAGAAGCTGGACATGGTGACAAGAAAGCACAAGGATGATCAGTCATGACCCCTTAGACGAAGCCTCATCCCTGCAGAACGTTCCCGGCTCTGTCCCTGTCTGGCTGTGCAGCGTCCGTGCAGGCCCTCGACCTCTCAGTACGTCGGTTTCCTCGTGTGAGACCAGGTGTGGTTAATAAAGCCGCCTTGGGACCAGCAGTTAGTGTAATGGCTATGTCGCTGAACTCCCATGTAGTTGACCGCGGTTCAAGTCCCGGACCCGGTGGCTCAAACTCACGCCGGGCACATGTGTGCGTGTGTGCCCAAGATCCTGAGAGGAGAATGGAGGAGAAGAGATCGTGGTGTGGCTATTCCCCCTGAGGGGTGATTCCTCGCTTTCTGCCTCTCTGTCTCTGTCTTTCTGGCGAGCACATGTGCCCTATAGCAAAAACTTCTCCAAAATAAAATAAAATAAAATAAAATAAAATAAAGCTGCCTCACAGGGCCATGGCGGGTGTGGAATCCGTCAGGCGTGCAGATACCTCGCCGGAATGAGATCAGCGTGTGTTATGAGAAAACATGCATGGGCTTCCAAAATGTCCCCACTGGACTGCACTTTCTCTTTTACTTGCCAAAGGGTGTGTGCACTCACAGGAGAGAGGGAGAGGGAGAGGCAGGAAGCACCCCCAGTGGGTGTGGTCACACCGCAGCCCCTCTCTGTCCTGTCGAATTTGGGGCATGCATGCACACAACACGCACATGTGTTTTCAGGCCACCAGAGCTAGGATCCAAACCACAGCTGGCCGTGTGGGGTCTGGCTTCCTTAACCCACTTAGGCTAGGGGCCAGCCCAATAAACACAAATTTGGCTGTGAATTTTTTTTGAAGTCCCCCAGGAAAGTGTTTTTTCTCAGCATATGGTAAATTTTCAAAAGTGGTACCACCGGGGGGCATGGTGGTTGCAGCTGGATCCCATGTGGCTGACTGTGGGGTTCAAGTCCCAGACCCAGTGGCTTGAAAAACACACCAAGTGCATGTGCATGTATGCCTAAAATCCCCGGAGGGCAATGGAGAAGGGATCAGGGTGCAGCATCCTCCTAAGGGGTGCTTTCTCACTTCCCTTCCCCCCTCAGTCTCTCCAGTGAATGCACATGTCCACCCTATAGCAGATTTTTTTAAATGGTCATTCTTCCATGTTGGTATTTCCAAATAGAATATAGTCTTGAGAACAGGGCTGCCATTCTTCCACAGGTTTGAGCCAGGGACTCCAGAAATGAAAGTGTCGCATAAATTCTTTTTCTAAGTGTATTCATTTATTTCTTACTTGAGTGAAAGAGAAAAGAGGCAGACAGTGCTCCCGACAAGGTCTTGGTGCTGCCTCCCCTCCCCAGCTTGAGCCAGCCTGATCGTGGGCACACCTGTGCCTGGCTTACTCGGGGGGCCCCCGGACACCAGCCAGGCCCTCCCCACATGGCTCACCTGCAAGAGCTCTGCACTGCACCCCATCAGGCCCCTCAGAGAGCCCTGATTTAAGGGACCCGGCATCTCTTCTTCAACTGTAAGCTGAGCCAGGGAAGATCGCCGTCAGCCATGACAGGTGGATCCTTGCCAGTCTGCTGCCTGACCCTGCACGGCCTCTGTCAAGTGACACGTAAACACGCAGCACGGACGTGGAGGGGCTCCTGCCAGAAGTTCCGTGTCCCCCTCCCCATGCTCGCTGTCTCACGTCCTGTCCCAGATACGTGGGTTCCTGGCGCAGCGTGGATGGCAAGGGTGGTATACCAGCTGGTCATCATACGGGTGTTCCCAGCCTGTCTGTGCAGTTGTGCTGCGTTGTGGTTCAAAGGACTGTGAGTTGCACCAATACGATGAAAAGATAAACCACGATGAAACTGAAACTTTTAAAAAGCAGGGCATGGGGGGTGGAGGTAGGGGCTAGCCCTGTAGCCTAGTGGTTAAAGGAGCAGAATCCAACATGGCTGGTCAGTTTGAACCCTAGCCCCAGCAACCTGGAAAAAAAGAAAGAGAAGAAAGTGGCCCTTGACTCCAGAAGGCCCCTGGTACTGTGGCCGGTAGATGCCGTAGTCCAGGGACTCAAGAGGAAAGTGCGCGTCGAGAACATTTTCTGGAGACCCTTTCTGTGTCCTGCAGCTGTCCTGTCAGCCACTGACGAGGCCACGCACTTCGTCCTGGCCAGTCACGTGTGATGCAGTGTTCTGCGCACGGAGGGTGTCTTCAGGCCTTCTCTTCCTTAGAGGTGGGGATTCAAGCCCAGGCAACTTAGATGCCAGGATTCATGTACTTCTCCACGCCATCCTCTGCCTCCCAGAAATGGAAATATTTGGACGTTTGCTTTTCTTTTTTCTTTCTTTCTTTTTTTTCTTTTTTTTTTTTAGGTTTACTATAGGGCATATGCACTTGCCAGAGAGAGATGGGGTGGGGTGGGAGCTGGAGGGAGAAATCACCCCTCAGGGAGAATGGCCACTCCACAGTCCCTTCTCCATTGCCTATCAGGATTGCCCCCTCACACACACACACACAGATGGTGCTTGGAGCATCAGGACATTTGAAGCGCCTGACAAAATGCCTAAAGGACTTTTTTTTAAACCATGTTATTAGAAATCATTCCAAAAGCGTTGTCAAGAAAACTTAATGAATTTTGGACAAGCAGTTAGCGTAATGGCTATGTCGCTGGACTCCCATGTAGTCGACCGCGGTTCGAGTCCTGGACCCGGTGTCTTAAAACTCATGCCAGGCGCGTGTGCATGCGTGCCCAAGATCCCGAGAGGAGAATGGAGGAGAAGGGATTGCAGCGTGGCCATGCCCCCTGGGGGGTGATTTCTCGCTTTCTATCTCTCTGTCTCTCTCTGTCTGTCTGGCGAGCGCACGTGCCCTATAGCAAACACCTCTCAAAAAAAAAAAAAAGAAAAAGAAAAAGAAAGGAAAACTTAATGAATTTTACATGTTTTACCAAAAATCTTAATGAGGATCTGTTCACTAATAAACAATAAAATATTAGAAGAACTGTCTTATATTGGGCAAAGAGGCTGATACCAAAACCAACGTGCAACATACAAAAGACACGATTTAGGGCCGGCCCCATATAGTGGTTACAGAAGCCAAATCCCACATGACCAACTGAGATCAGAGTCCTGGCCTCAGTGTCTTGAAAAGTCCTCGGGAATGTGTGCATGTGTGTCTGAAATCCCAACACAGAGGAGGGATGGCTGTGTGTGGCCTTCGGAGGGTGCTTTCTCTCTCTCACCCCCTCGCTCTTGTCCTCACCCTCTGGCAATCAAAAACAACAATAACAAACAAAAGGTAAAATATAAACTTGGGAACTAGTGCAAGACAAAGTACTACCAAATGCAAACCATACCAAGAAAGGAAAGTTTCGCTGAGGGCTGCCAGGAGGAAGAATCCCGTTTCTCCATGGAAGAGACCTGAATAGGGTCTTGGTGTATTTCCCTGGCTGGTACAAGCAAAATTACAAAATCTCTTGGCAAAGGAAAGAAAGAAATACAATGGAATGCTAAATACATTTTTTAAATAATTCCTAGGGGTTAAAGGAGCAGAATCCAACATGGCTGGTCAGTTTGAACCCTAGCCCCAGCAACCTGGAAAAAAAGAAAGAGAAGAAAGTGGCCCTTGACTCCAGAAGGCCCCTGGTACTGTGGCCGGTAGATGCCGTAGTCCAGGGACTCAAGAGGAAAGTGCGCGTCGAGAACATTTTCTGGAGACCCTTTCTGTGTCCTGCAGCTGTCCTGTCAGCCACTGACGAGGCCACGCACTTCGTCCTGGCCAGTCACGTGTGATGCAGTGTTCTGCGCACGGAGGGTGTCTTCAGGCCTTCTCTTCCTTAGAGGTGGGGATTCAAGCCCAGGCAACTTAGATGCCAGGATTCATGTACTTCTCCACGCCATCCTCTGCCTCCCAGAAATGGAAATATTTGGACGTTTGCTTTTCTTTTTTCTTTCTTTCTTTTTTTTCTTTTTTTTTTTTAGCTTTACTATAGGGCATATGCACTTGCCAGAGAGAGATGGGGTGGGGTGGGAGCTGGAGGGAGAAATCACCCCTCAGGGAGAATGGCCACTCCACAGTCCCTTCTCCATTGCCTATCAGGATTGCCCCCTCACACACACACACACAGATGGTGCTTGGAGCATCAGGACATTTGAAGCGCCTGACAAAATGCCTAAAGGACTTTTTTTTAAACCATGTTATTAGAAATCATTCCAAAAGCGTTGTCAAGAAAACTTAATGAATTTTGGACAAGCAGTTAGCGTAATGGCTATGTCGCTGGACTCCCATGTAGTCGACCGCGGTTCGAGTCCTGGACCCGGTGTCTTAAAACTCATGCCAGGCGCGTGTGCATGCGTGCCCAAGATCCCGAGAGGAGAATGGAGGAGAAGGGATTGCAGCGTGGCCATGCCCCCTGGGGGGTGATTTCTCGCTTTCTATCTCTCTGTCTCTCTCTGTCTGTCTGGCGAGCGCACGTGCCCTATAGCAAACACCTCTCAAAAAAAAAAAAAAAAGAAAAAGAAAAAGAAAGGAAAACTTAATGAATTTTACATGTTTTACCAAAAATCTTAATGAGGATCTGTTCACTAATAAACAATAAAATATTAGAAGAACTGTCTTATATTGGGCAAAGAGGCTGATACCAAAACCAACGTGCAACATACAAAAGACACGATTTAGGGCCGGCCCCATATAGTGGTTACAGAAGCCAAATCCCACATGACCAACTGAGATCAGAGTCCTGGCCTCAGTGTCTTGAAAAGTCCTCGGGAATGTGTGCATGTGTGTCTGAAATCCCAACACAGAGGAGGGATGGCTGTGTGTGGCCTTCGGAGGGTGCTTTCTCTCTCTCACCCCCTCGCTCTTGTCCTCACCCTCTGGCAATCAAAAACAACAATAACAAACAAAAGGTAAAATATAAACTTGGGAACTAGTGCAAGACAAAGTACTACCAAATGCAAACCATACCAAGAAAGGAAAGTTTCGCTGAGGGCTGCCAGGAGGAAGAATCCCGTTTCTCCATGGAAGAGACCTGAATAGGGTCTTGGTGTATTTCCCTGGCTGGTACAAGCAAAATTACAAAATCTCTTGGCAAAGGAAAGAAAGAAATACAATGGAATGCTAAATACATTTTTTAAATAATTATTTTATTTAACTTTATTTATTTTAATGTGGTCAGGAAGGGACAACATAAGAGAGAGAGGGAGAGAGAAAGTGAGAAAACAAGCTGCCAGATCCAGGGCTCGAACTGCGGTCAGCCATGTGAGTTCAGCGCCCTCAACCACCATGCCACCTGCCGGCCCTGCTAAATACATTTTTAGAAATAAGCGGACTGATATCCAGCATCAGTAAAGTAGCAAATGGATAACTTCAAAACATTACTCGTGGGGGCCAGGAGGTGGCGTAGTGGTTAAGGCCCTGGGCCCCCACATGGCCCACTGCCACTGACGGAGTCCTGGACCAGATCTAGCAGCTTGAAACTCGGGCGTGGCCATCCCCTTTGGGAGGTGAATTCTCAGTTTCCCTCTCACTGTCTGACTCTGTCCAGCGAATATACATGTTTCGTAGTAAAAATTTTAAAGGAAAAGTTATTCATTGTGGTCTCAGAAAACATTCAAAAGGCATTTATTTTAAGGTGTCACAATAAGTATGTCCAGACATTCAGGCTTACAGGAAGTGAAGAATGTCTTAAATCAAGCAAGCTGCTGAACAGCAATCTTCCACCTGCTAAACAGCAACGTTCCACCTGCTAAACGGTAACTGGCAGCAGAGTTCCAATAGGGGGATATTCTTCGGTCTCCTCTGCAGAGGGCCACGGGGACAAAGAAAGGGTTTGGGCAGGACAGACTATGCACGCGTGTCTATGACGAGAGCATCGATGAGCCCTACTGCCGCCCTAGGAAAGCGAGGGCTCATCCCCAAAGTCGCCAACTCCAGGGCTCCCGGCGCGAAGCTGCGTCGCGCTCCCGCCCGGAGGTGGTTCGAGGCGCGGAGATCCCACCCCAAGCCGCAGGGGGCGCCACGCCGCTTCGCTCGGACGCTACCCGGCCGGCCGGTCTTGCGCGCCGGCACCGCGGGCGCCCTCACTTCCGGGCTGCGCGCGCAGCGCTCGAGTCCGCACGGGGCGGCCAGGTGAGTAGGTGCTGGCGCGACGCTGGATTCTGAAGCCCACCGCCCCGCGGGACCCCCGCGCGCAGCCGAGATCGGTGCCTCAGCCGCGCGCTCGTCCCCGGCCCGAGCTGCCGCCCTGTCCCCCGCAGCGGGGCGGGAGGCCTCTGCGTGTAACACCTAGACCACCGCCTCCCCCGGCCCGCTCAGCCCCGGCTGCCGGGGCCACTTCCCCCCTAGGCGTTTGCGCGCGGAGAGTGGCGGGCTGGGGAGCTGGGCCCAGTAACTCACCGGGCGCCCCTGCGTCCCTCTCCGCTCTTTTTAGACGGTCACCATGAAGTTCAACCCCTTCGTGACTTCGGACCGCAGCAAAAACCGCAAACGCCACTTCAATGCCCCCTCGCACGTGCGCAGGAAGATCATGTCGTCCCCGCTGTCCAAGGAGCTGCGGCAGAAATACAACGTCCGCTCCATGCCGGTCCGCAAGGACGACGAGGTCCAGGTACGTCTGCTTGCCTGTGCCTACGAGAGGCGTGTGTGCTCGGTCGTGGGGGTGCCACAGGCTCACGTGTCCGCAGGACCCTGGCACATAGCTCGACCCTGCAGGTGTGTTAGGTCGAAGATGTGGTCCAGAACATTCGGTTTATTGTGCCAGCCGAGGAGCCTGTCTGCTTTTGATTGCCCTGTGGTTGCCAGGTGTCCCTCAAGGTTCTTTGAACCAGATTTTGTAGAGGAGAACGCTGCGGTGAGAGCAGTGTTTTGCTACCTTTGGGTTTAGTGAACTTGATAGACAGGGCCTCGTGGGAACTGGATTCGGCAGTGAAAATGGAGCAGCAGCAAGGCAGAGGTGCAGCATCATGGAAGAGCCAGGTCCTTGTGGGGAAGTTGGCTCCTCTGTTCTCTGTGCTTGGAGTCTGGGAAATGTGGGAGGGGGCGGGGCTGGAGGTCAGTGAAAGCCAGGAGCTAGAGTCACTCTTGGAAGGAATATGTTGAGGGACCCGCAGAGGGTGTGATGTCTATGTCACTGGACTGCCATGTAATCAACGTGGTTTGAGTCTCGGACCCAGTGGCTTAAAACTCTTACCAGGCATGTATGCACATGTACCCACGATCCTTAGAGGAGAATGGAGAAGGCACTGCAGGGTGGCCAATCCCCCTGGGATGGTGTGATTTCTCACTTTCTCTCTGGCAAGCACATGCGCCCTATAACAAAAATCTCTCTCTAAAAAAGACACAATATTTGCTGAGCATTTACCGGGTACTGTTGTAAACAGCAGCTGTGAACAACACTGAGCTCACAGCGTGGAGCAGGATTTCCCAGCCTCCACGCTGTTGAAATCTTAGACCAGACCACAAGGAGCCGTGTGGATGTTATAGGATGTTTAGCACCATCTCTGGCCTCCTGCACTAGGTGCCAGTGGCAGGCTTCCCCTTTCACAATAGTAGGCAGTGGAAATATTTCCAGGTAATGTAAGATGTACCCTGGTGACAAAATTAGGGTTCCTTCCCCAGCCGAGAACCACTGTTTTGGAGAATGAGGTTGGTGTACCATCTCAGACGCTGGGCCTCTGAGGGTCGAGGGATGTGTTGATGGAGAAAAGATCCGAAGCAAGGCCTAAGTTAGGCTGAGAGCACGACAGGAGTAGAGTGGAAGGAGTAGTTGAGAGGTGTGACCCCCTGCTTAACCTCCTCAGTCACAATCCTCCCCACAGGCACGCGCTATGGATAGAATGAGGGAGTTAAACACGTACCTCTGGGGGACTAAGGCAAAGAACGGAGGGAAATGTGTGATGAGAACACAGTGAGCTGGGAAGCACATGCTGCTTTTGAAGAGAATAGCCGCATAACTTCCGCCCGTTGCTGCCTTAGAGAAGTGGAGGCTCATCGTTAGATTCTTGATTCTGCAAGAGAACTGGAAAACTCGGATTCCCTTCCCAGCCCCACATTTTCTTCCAGCTGCGACTCGGTTCCCCATTCATAGCCGGGCTCCAGAGGTGTTGTTTGCACTCCGCCTCCCAGTCAGTCTTGGACACTCTAGTCCTGTCCAGTCCCTGTCCCTGCTACGTTACAGACAGGGCTTTGCTGCGATCACCAGTGGCCTCTTTGTGGCTGAATCCACTGGACGCGTCTCGGTCTCTTTGTACTGGACTTTCCCCGCACCACTTGGCACAGGTGGCTCTGCTCTACTTGAAGTGGTCTTTGGTTTTCTGACCCTTCACATTCACAGTCTATGCCCAGTCTCTCAGCCTGCTTTGCTGGCTGTTTCTTCTCTGCTGATCCCCAAATTTGGAGATTCATCGGGCCTGGCCCAGGCCGTATCTGGCATCTCTTCTGGTGCTGTGTCGCTCACCTATGTACTCCCAGAGCTTTAAATGTCTGCTCTGTGCTGACAGCTTCCCATTTCCCAGCCCCACATACTTCACTGAGCACAGACCAGTAGAAGTGACTACTTGCAGATCCAACTACCT